GACTAGGCAACTTTCTTAATGGCCGGGCATAGGATGGGAGACCAAAATTTAATTATCACGAGCTCCTGCATGCTTCGAAGGCACGTTAAGCTTTTGTTCCCGGCGGCATTTGCATTTGTTAACATACTAATCCACACTTTGAATGAGTCATGGCTCATCTCCCTCTTCGTTTCCATGATTCCAGGCCTGTGTCCTAGCAATGGGGAGATTAATAAGCAGATGATGATCATGTTAAAAGTAAAGAGAAAACCAGGTTTAATAAATCTTAAAGAATGCACTTTGGAATCGTCGCAAGATTTTTACTCATTTTATCAGCTCTTACTGCAGCATAGACATCAAGGCCCGATTCACCTATTTAGCCGTTCCTAACAAAAGTAATACAGCGTAGAATCGATCGAAGATATTACTAAGTTTTATTGTGTATTGCGAAAAATAAAATACTTAATAATAACAATGTTTATCATAGTGCAATCATCAATTTTATGTTGGTAGACCATAATCTCGTACACTCGAAGCTTATCTTTACAATATAAATATAATCATAGCCGATGCGTCAACTTTATGTAGTTTCGAATTTATTTCTATGTCATAAAGTGTTATGTAATTTGTATAGATAGCCAGAGTATTTTATTTCTTTTACTCGTACAAATTAATATGACACATTAAGGCTTATTTTATTTCACCGAAAACTAAATTGCGTTTATCTTCGAATTGCTAATAAGAGTCCAAAGAAACGCATTTTTCGATAATTTATTATACTACCTACAAGTACATGTCCGAATTTTCATTCGATGCAAAATAGAAAAAGCATGTTTTTTTTCACACATTAATTTTCCTGAGCAATTGATCTTATATTTTTGTGATTAATAAATATAAATTAAATTAATAAACGCAATATCAAGTTACTGCACTGTACCTAAGGAAAAATCCACTTGGTCCTGGCACCCTGAGATGGGAATCGAACCCACGACCTTCCGCAATCTGGGCGACTGCTCTAACCACTGACCTACCCAGGACCTAACAGGACTGACGAATCTTTCAAGCAATTGTTACTTTTCGCTACTACAGAGCGAAAAGTAAAGCATTTTGTATTAAGAATAATTTTCAGAATGGCATTGTAAATGGAAAATTAATAAAAATATAATGTAAGGAAAAAGTTGTCGATCCGGGCCTATTGCCGTCCCTAGCCTCCGATGTGGTAAATCCGATGAGTAGCTTCGATTGATTTTACAAAATTATGCTTCAAATCTGTCAACCTGATAGCATGTAGATAAAAATAGCCATTTCATGTATTGGAAATGAGTTCAACGCGACCCCATCATGTGGAAGACCCGACTTCCACTTTTCGTTTCAACATTTTATCTAACCGTATTTCTGTATGTACTCTCTTCCATTTCTATGTAATAATAATATTACAAGTATATCTTAATTAAAGAACTGACTACACTGTATACTCTAGTATACTCTTTTGAAATATTACTACTTACCTTACCTACCTACAAGTATATTACTAATCTCTGTTAGAATTGTGGGCATTCTACAAATCCTCTATAATCAATCTTATCATCAGTGTCGTGCGTTAACTTAAACCACAGCCTTGAGGTTGCGGTTACAATTTACAACATATACTTATAGTAATATTATTTTTTTCTTTTCAAAATACTACTAACAATCAGAAACCTATGTAAGCAAAAAATAAAATGTCTTTTACGCTATTCTTTTAAAAAAACAGCTTAGATATAGTAGTGAAGATTCATGGCCCATCTTCCATAACCATCCATAAGGATGGCCTGAAACCCTGCAGTGGTGACGTAAAAAGATGATGATGATGATGGAGTAGCTTTTATTTCTTTTAACGTCGATTTCGAAGTTCCTTTTCAAAAGAATAGTAGAGAAAGAAATGGAAACTTTGATATATAACTCGTAATTTCCGTTAATAATCAAAATATTGCATTATCAAAGTAAACGATTAAATTTACAGATTAAAAAGAAATACCGAAAAATATCGATAATAATAGCCGATGATTTCATTTTGTTGTTGGGTAGGTAAATAAATTTGTCGCACAGTATTCTTTATCTAAGTAGACATACTGATTGTTACACTCAGTTACACTCCTACTCTGGTTCTAAAATATGTTTTTTAAGCAGTTTACTTAAATACATTATTTTTAATTTGTTTTTAATTCTCAGGTAAGCTCATTCGAATGACTTTCTTTTTGCTTGTCACGAGTTTATGAAAATACCTACCAATTTGAACTTGATAAAAAAAAATTGGCTTTGCACATTTTACATTTGAACTTAGTAAATAAATCGGTCACCCATTTTATGTTAAGCCTTTAAGAAATTTACTAATCGCCAATGACTGTGCCTGATCTGCTGTATGTCTTTACATATTTATATAAATAATGGCTATCCTGCGTCGCGAGAGTTTGTACGTTTGTTGAACTCTTGGGCATGCGTCATGAGTTATTTAAGTGTTAGTCTGTTGACCTTCGTAGTTACTGAGTATTCCTTGGATGTGTCAGGAATGCATTTGCCATAGCAAGTGCAACAAATGGGATGAGCCTATTATATTTTTGTGTTACAATTCTCAGATTCAATTATTTTACTCCTGGAATTCCGAAGATTCCCTCAGACACAAGACCATACCTCATAGATGCGTGCGTTTATCGCGGTTGTTTACTTTAAAATATATTAAAATACCTATAGCTAAAGTTTAGTATTTCTTTAAATATCATTAAGAATTATATAAATAAACATTTCAGCCTCGTAATTTAAAGCCTATGTCACCCGCGTATAACCAGTACCCGTATACTAGTTCAGTTGAACGAGACTTTAAAATCGTTCCAGTAGTGTCCTTTTCAATCCCAACAAACAAACAACCAAATGTTTCCTCTTTATAATATAACTAGCTGTTTCTGCGCGACGTCACCTGAGTAAAATTTTTGTGGCCATAGTTGTTTAGGATGCAACAAACAATAAGATCGAGAAGATCAAGAATTTTATTTTTGTCATCTAGTGACAACAATTATTCTAGGAAGGTATATTGACCGCGACATGGCATGAATATGCCTATGTTTTATAAACAGGATGTTCTAATATTAACCCGAATTAGTCAACACACAGCTATGTTGTTTATTATACATATAAATACAGTTTTCAAGCCAATAACCTAATTTTCCTGTTGTGATTCAAGCAATGACTGAGAAAATTAATTGTCATCCTCCTTGGTTTTTGGTAATTTTATTTAAAAACGGGATGACTTGACCGTTTTGTGTGTACGGCATTTGAACATTATTTATTTTACATTTCTGTAGCGCTTTTTGTTTTTCATTGACGTCAATAGCTTGACAAAACTCATTTCGAGCATTTATTAATTTGGCAGGTTTGTAACAGTAATGGAAAAGCAAACTTGTATTTGGTATTTTCATTTCAATTCTTTCCGTTTTTTTCTTTCCTTATGAAAAGAACCTTTCTCAGACTTCAAAGAATATTAAAAAATCAATAGATAAGTTGGGCCAGATGTTCTCGACTTTTGCGCTTAGCAACACATTTTGTGATTCAAATTTATTTATAGACATAGGAATATATTTGATACTGCTCTAATTGAGCCTGTTTATTAGAACTTTTTCTATTATTTTACAGCTATAGATCGAAACGTGTTTATGCGTGGCTAGCAGATATTAGTCAATATTGATGATTAAAGTTATACGAATCAAATATTAGAATCCGTCTTGAGTCCAACTCGTTTTTTGTTTTGGAAAATTAATTGGTATTGATTAATTACATTCACTTAGTTCCATTCATTCTTATTTTAATACTACTAAGTCTGACGTAGTGATGATAGAAATAAAGAAGACGTTACCTACTGTCATTCTTCAGTTAATTTTGGTGAGCCCTCAAAATAAAAAAGTTACTAATTTGTAACTCAATTCACTTTCACCCTTATTCGTTGCACAATCATTATGATTATGCAAAAGAAATCTTGTTCAAAGGTAATTATGTGAAAATAATAATAAATAACGCAGTTTAAACGTCATGCGGCATTAAATTTGTTATAACAATCTTTTATATGAAAACGAATTCTCGCAACTTACCATTATTCATTAGGGACTTTCTTTTCTATGGATGGAAATTAATCGAATAGGGAAAACGGGCCATGACCCACCAATGCAGTTGGGAGCAACGGCTAAGCGTGCACGAATCACATAAGAGCTCGAGATTAACTTTTGGTCATCCATCCTACGACCGGTCGGTGAAATTTGCTTATCTTCTCGCGCGCGCTACCTAACGACTGCGCTATCGAACTCCTCAACATGTATTAGATAAAAAAATATTCCTCTGTGTTATAGCTTTGTAACTGTGTACCTATCGTTCGTACCATCAACACCGTCTGTCGAGGTCCCAGGCTCAATTCCAATGGTCCAGGTTCCAGGTCTCGTCAATGTAGAAAATGAACTTCTCTGCATGTATTTTTTCAAATATTGGTGTTTTGGTATCTGTGTTGTTTCAGATTTTCATTATAACTTTTGCTACTTAATATGAAATCTGAATTGTCTTATATTTATCATTTCCAAATACATATTTCCAGTAACATTGTATCCCCTACTTTGTAATTCTATCGGACATCGAATCTTATTAGAAACTTAATTAGAAGATAAAAATTGTACCAATGAAATTGGCGCATTATCGTAATGAAGAGCGAATTCCTCATTGCGAAGAGCCGTTCCAGTTTTTATATAAGTTTTCACTGAATTGAAAGTGATTGGAGACGTTGGATCTTCACGGTGCGATACTCACGGAGACTTGGTAGTTTTTTTTATACCACAAGTAAACTGGTATTTGTTAATTGATGCCTAGAGACTAGATTCGGTTGGGATTGATGCAGAAAATCTTCCAATGCCTATTCTGTTTTGTACTATGTACCATTTTGGAAATTAAATATTTACATGCAGCGCTAAATTAAGACGACACCTCAATATTTAGGTACTTTATTAATCAATTATATCACATTTATAAGTTCTATAACGCTATTACGTAGTGTTACGTTGCAGTAACGCGATTGTTATTATGTAATCTTAGAAATATTTGCACTCTTGAACAGATATCTGATATAAGGTAATTTAGTATATTTACCCTTGTCATCTTATTTATTTTGAAGATTCAAAACTAAATTTAGACTAGTTTGTGCCAATAGAATAGACACAAGTGATACTTCTCTGCAAATTTAACGTTAACATAGATTTAAAATCTGTAGAAATATTAAGTTCCACACAAATCGTTCATTGACTCTCCTGTCAGGGCTGCATTTTTAATGAGACAAACAAGCAATTGAACAACTTTTTATAATAACTCGAAACGCTTCTCGAAATATGTCTGCACACTATCACTTGCGAATTAGCCCATAGAGTAAGTAAGACTCTACAGTATGCGTTTTAATTTATAATTTTTTTGTTATTACCATTTTACTCTATTATTTTGACAGACAGTTGCACAAACGTCCATTAAGGTTTAATGACGCCTTTAAGCTCTAATGAATGTCAAATTTGTATGGGTAATGGCGCTTTAAACTGATGTAAATTTAAATGGACTTTTGTGCAACTCGCCCTGAATGAAGAAAAATAACCATAGAGTAAAATCTACTTTAATAAAAAGTAGATGAGAAAAATAAATATGAAATTGTCACACATGTCAAGAAAAGCCATCAAAATCTTGTATTAAGTTCCATTAAATGGATACATTTCTACACATATAATCTAAGTAAACAGGAATTTGATTCACATATATAAATTTCGTTTCACGTATCATGATAACGTAATATTACCAATAAAAGACAAAATGGAAAATGAAGACAACAATTTATATATCGAAGGAGCATGCAAGACCGTTCAGCATCAAATAAACAAACTGACTGAAAATCAAGCTAATATGTTGACGAAATTCGATATGCTGTCCAAAATTGTAGATGAACTCAGAAAGGCTTTGTCTCAAGTATCGGAGAAAATAGAATCTCTAGAAGAAGTGAATAAGGAGAGAAGAAAACTAAAAGCGGAGATGAAATTATTGAAGAGTAGGATAGACGATATTTATGGAATAGTAAAAGAAGGGAAAGAAGATTCTTGTCCTAGTGAAGACGTTCACGATGTTGAGTCTTGCCATTCAGAATTTTCTTGTTCCTCGAAGGTAATTGAGACGTCCTTTTCAAAAGGGCACTTACACAAAAATTACTTTCAACTGGTTTTGTACAAAGAAATAGAATTCAAATAATCTTTACTTAAGAATAAGAAAACCAAATCATGATTTTAAGAGTTTTGTCACAGTGAATTTTTGAAATTCACATAATTATTCCTCTTTTTTTTTCTTTTCTTGTTCTTTATACCTTTTAATAAGGGCAACACTTTCTAATACAGAAAATTATGCAGCACTTTGACAATACACATAATATGCCTTACTTTATCTCTATATGAGTGGTTCGCACGGCAGTTTCAAGGTGTCGGCATCGAGTTCGATTCCCGGTTGGATCAATGTAGAAAATGGACTTTTCTAGATTATTTCGTGGTATCGTGGTAGTCAGAGCACGTCAGACTATAACTGTCGAATTTTCCCACACGATTGTGACACTTAATATATTTAAGGGTAGTTCAAAACATATTGAAGAAATTTTACATATTGTTACCACCTGACGTGTAGCCGTATGTGCTTTAGCTACTCATTTCAGAATCTGAGCAACTATGTGATGAATGATTTAAGCTATCTTTTGTCTTACGCCCCCTCTTAAGGTGCTAATTTGTTTTTAAGCCTATTAGGGACAAATGCTTAAATGAGCAAAATACAAAAATACGGGATTTCATTTTTTTACCTAGGATTAATAAAAAAAACTAGTTTGAAAATGAATTAAAATCATAGTAAAATATTGTCAATAAAATTTGTTTTTATTAAGTTGGAGGTACATTTACTTCGTTCATCAACCCACTTTAACACCATCTGGACCCGGCGGGATATTTGAATTTGTGCACGAAATACGTCTAGCAACACTAGTGCAAAAAGATCTCTTTTGCTGTTGTAAGTCCAGCAGCCCTATAAGACACTTTGTTTTGGGCGCTCACAGAATTATTTACAATATGGTTACATCCGTAACAGTTATGAGCTGATTCAAGATAAGTTAGTTTAATGTTTTAGTTGAGATTTTCTTCCTAGCGAACAAAATGTGGGTTCTGCTCATTGTTGAGGACTCCATAAGATCGGGCAGGCGCCCTCGATTATGCTCCTCGGGCAAACGAAACCTTGATAAAAGCTAAAAATCAAATAACATATTTAACAGCGGTCCTTATAATATTTTGGCAATGGAATCTTTTTGTATATAATAATTTATACGGGCCCCTAAAATACTAGTTTTTATTAAATCGTGTAGATGGTTAGTAGTCGGTCGATACTGTACAAAATACATTTTTTTCTTTCATTTTTTACAAGGCGTTGATAAATGGTCGATCAAGTTGCGCTGCCTTAATTACCAGAGTTGGTAATAATACTTTCTGTGAAGAATAGATTTAAGTAATGCAATTATTCGAAATGGCAAACTTCATTACATAAGCGTTTAAGTTATGGCATTCTTACGAAATTAGATTTTAAGGTCCATGTAATTTTTCACATGGACGCTAAAATCTTATTTCTTAACCCTAAATATAGGGTTCCGTTACCAAAAAGTAAAAAACGAGAGCCTATTATTAACATAACACTTTCTGACTCTCTGTCCGTCTACTACCAGGATATATCTCGTGAACCATGATAGTTAGACAGTTGAAATTTAAAAATACTAATAATCAAAATAAAATATATATTTAAGTGTGACCTCATGCCACAAACATGATTTTTTGCTGGTTTCCGCTACGGAACACTTCGTGCGACGTTCAAGTTCGACTTGCACTCGGTTTATAATTTTTATTTAATACTAGTTCCCCCAAAGGTTGTTTAATATAACATTTGGTGCCCCGCCATTTTTCTCACCATATAATGATGATATTTAAATAGGTTCCTTATTAGGGAATTATAGAATCTATAGTTTATTTGATGTAATGATTTATTTTACGAACTCCCTGGCGCCCACGCCCGCCGCTTTCAAGGTATCATCATCTTGATAGTTGATTTATTAGCATTGCAGATAAATCAGGGTTCATTTTATCGGGCTGCTTAACATAGAAGGACAAAGTGTTTGTCCGGCTGTATCAGTCGGCACTTTGTTGCGCCCGCGCAGTCTTCCTAAAGCGTTTCGTGTTTTTTTCAGGTAACCATGACAACCGGTTTGGACCGCGACACGATACGAGCCGCGTACGAGGACGTCCGGTCCGACACATCACCGACAGAATGGCAAGTTTAATAACAACTTAACCAGCTTTGGTATTACGTAAAAATTCAGCGACTCTGTCACGGCAGTATTAGAGCTTCAGTCATATAAAACTTTAAAATTTTTAACCCGCCGCGAATAAAAGAGGGGTATTATAAGTTTGACGTGTCTGTATGTGGCACCGTAACTCCTGAAGTAACGAATTGATTTGAGGGATTTTTTTTTATTCGAACGCCATGTTCATCGCTATGTTATAAAAATTGGAAAAGTAGTTTAGAAGCTACAAACACTTTATCAAGGCGAAGTAGCTACTTTTTCAATTATTTGTATGAACAGCATCCTACGAATAGGCCAATTTGATTAGTTTTTTTTTATCTTACCTTGAAACACACGGCTACGGGAGTTTTCAATTATTATTGCGAATGTGATGGTTTTTAACATGCCTTATGAAGCATTTACCTATGAATTTTAGAATAGACTCCGAAACTACTAATTCCAAAAGTTCTTTCACCTACGTGTAGTAAATGCACACAGGCTATAATTTACGCGAGTGAAGTCGTGGGAAGACAACTAGTTAGGCCTCGTGTAAACGGTCCATATTTTTTATTTTTATTTCCAGGGCCGTATTCAAATTTGAGGGAGCCAGGATAGTGTGTTCAGCGCACGGCAGTGACTTTACAGAGTTCCGCACCCAATTCTCAGACGATGACCGTGCGTTTGGTTACTTAAGGTATGTCTTTAAATTAGTAATTAGTAATCGTTATAGGCCAGAGAGACTCACGCCGAGAAGCCCAGAGAACACCTGAGACTCGTGAATGTGATATGTTTCTAAGATATAACTAAATTATTGATAATAATATCAGTCAATCTTGTTATTTTTGACAAAACATAATAGTTTGATTTCTTTCAACAAATATAAAGCCCATTGTAAGAAATACTAGCCAGGTATTACAGTTATATCCCGGCTGCTTAGCTAAACATTTTTGGTATGGCCGATATCGTTTAAAATATTCCTGGGATGGCCAAAGCGTCGGCTCTATGAAACTTAGCGCCCTAGGCAAGACATTGGAACGACGCCCATAAAAATCAAAATACTTCTTAGTTGTTTTTTTTTTGTGCTAATAATTAGAGCAAACATAATCTGTTTGTCATGCTGTGCCGCCACCAAATATAATACGTGCCTTAGTAAATTGCCTAGTTTGCCTGTATGAATGACCAGGCAATAAAATGCCGATAGTGCTGTCACTGATTGCCGAAAAATATTGCCCGATTAGAAGAAGTTTAGTATAAGCAACTCGTTGAATTTCAGTTGCATTCATATGTTAATTTGTCTGCAGGTTGCAGATGGGTGACGAGATGTCGAAACGCAAGAAATTCCTGTTTGTCACGTGGGTTGGACCAAATGTGTCAGTCATAAATAGAGCCAAGATGTCCACCGATAAAGCTATCATCAAAGACATTATATCTGTAAGTAACTTTCACCAGAACTTCGACCTCCATGGAATTATGGCACGCTGATGTCAGATGTTCATTCCTGCTTGAGTTAATATAGAAAATTTCCTTTCCTTCTGCTTTCTCTGATCAATCGATAATTCTAATTATTGGTCTAGTTAGCAATGTTTTGAGTTGATTGAAGATTAGTAAGATTTATTCTAACATGCTTGATGATGTGCTGTTAATGAGTTATTTAAGTGTATTTATATTAAAATTTAAATAAAATCAAATATTTTAGTTGTCATAAATATAATTTCAAATAAATTAACACAATGCATTCTATGGGTAATAATAATAAATAAAAACATTGATCACATAAAATCATACAGATACTTTCTAACATTAAAAGAGACTGTCTGAGCAACAGCCGATATAAAATCATAGCCAACTATGCATTTATATTTGGCTGTGTCCAAATCTATTTCTTTGCTGCCGGCAATCAGTTTTAGTTCCACTAATGTTGCAATCTGTGCCAATAGATTACTTGTCAAACCAATTTTCTCCTCTAAAATGGCGTAAAATATTGCAAGCAATCTATCTAGTGTAAATACTTTGGGACCCAGTTGTGTGTTCAATTTCTCATTTATTTTAGCCTTTGCTTTCACCTGTTGTAGCCTCTTACGTTGTTTCCCATGATTTTTCATGAACAATCTCTTGTCCTCCTTTGGTGGATTGTAACTGGCTAAATATGCAGCGATTAATAAAAACTTAGCATAGTAAGGTAATTCAAAACTCTGGGCAAATGTTTTAGTACAAGTGAGCTCCTCTTTTAATGTACTTTCAAAGTTATAACTTTCTATGTTATCACTATTCTCCTTTCCAGGAGACGGATTGGATAATTGAGTTGAACTTAAACGCAGATATAAGAGTTCAAGGCTGGTCTTCAAAATTGGTGATATGTGACGCCACAGCTTTGATAGATCTTGAGACTGTATCTCATTTTTTATTATAGGTTCACAGTATTTAACAAAATTAACTCTTGCCATGTATTGTAATTCAATTAAATCGCGACATGGTCTATAGAAGACACTAAGGAATGCATTTAGAAAATTAGCAAACAGCTCAGGCTTTTCTAATTCAATTTTTACATCATAGTCGACATCATGACTCTTTAATATGTGATGGGTGAATGATTCTTTATTTAGAAATATAATTTTAAACAATTCTTCTTTATTATAATTTGAAAAGTAAATTTTGATAGGTTCTCTTACTCCCATTTTGAAGTAGAAGCTATCGTAAACCAAATGTGTCACAAACACTGTACAGATGTTGAGGTTACAAAGTTCACGCAATCTCAAAAATGCACTTATTATACTTTGATCCATACTCCGAAGCCTTTCCGCTCTATCAAAGATCAGAACGACGGGCTGATATTGCGTTATATTTAAATTAATTCGATTTATAGCATTCGTAAAGTCTAAGATAGATTCACATTTAATGTCAATTTCAGTTGTATTCAGCCCACATAGTATTGTTTCACAGATGATCTTTATCGTATAACATTCAATGCAATCAATTATAACGTGTTTGTAGCCCAAATATCGTAGAACTGAAGTTAAACAAAGTGTCTTACCGGTTCCCATATTACCACTAAGAAATAAAGAACAAGGTAACGGTTCATCATAATCTCCAAATAGATTGAACAAATCATTGAGTTGACTTTCTCTGCAAGGAATTTTACGATAAAGTTCTTCCATTATGTCTACTTTCATAAATAAATCATCACAATGTTTGTCTAGCACGTACGTATTAAAGAAAGGACTTTATTGAATTTGACGTTAACTGACATTTCTAGACCCGCGCTTTCTGACTGATCGCTTGCAGGTACATATCAATCACTACGAATTATTTTCATTCCCTGACACAGAGAACTTTACATTCGTCGGCGAACATTTGTTCGTGCTTACATGTCGATTCTTTTATACAAATAATTTATTGTATTGATATTAAATATCTAATCCATAGCGCAACGGATTTATTTAATAATATTTTATTCAAATTTATGATCGAATGTTTTTTTTTTTGCTTAAGATGACCACCAATTCTCTTGTTACAGAATTTTGCGGTAGAGCTACAACTGGAGAGTCAAGCCGAAATAGACATTGATCAATTCAAAGATGCATTGAATAAAGCAGGTGGAGCCAACTACGGAACAGGAGTGAGAGATTTATGAATTGCACGATAAATAAATAGCCTCTCTTGCCATTAAATTTTTCTTACAAATAAACATATTTTTTTAAAACAAAAAGAAACAAGTCTGGCAAGTTTTGTATCCATGGAAAAGGACTGACTTATCTTTTTATACGGTAGTAATGTGCTTTTGATTAAATAATGAATAGTTTTTTTAATTACAATTTCAGTATAACGTCTTTCAAAGAATGTAATCTATTTATTTCCAATATTATTGCGATTGAAGTCATTATATTTATTATTATTTAAATTTTATGGAATTAAGTGAAATTATCGTTTAAAAAGGTATCGTGCAATTAAAAGTATGTTTCTGTATGCTTAAATTAAATTATTAATTTAGTAAGATTTTTACCAAAAATATTAGTAAATGTTGCCATGTAGACGGCGCTGATGATGTGCATTTATTTTTGTCAACTTGAAAATTTTTACAGTTTACAATATTTTGGATTTTATTGGCTTATACATTAGTGTTATTACCCTGCATTATTATTGGTAAAACGAACAGAAATAAATACAATTTAACCAATTAAATTTTTTTCTTTTAACCTGCTGATATACATATAAATTGCACTCATGTGCAACCAATTTTGACTCTTAAACGTGCGTAACAAAAATAATATAGTTTCATACTAGTATGATTAGTTAGATTTCGACTACCTACTTACATAAATAAGGACAATGTAAGTATAGGTAGACATTATACTATAAACACAATAAAAACACAAAAGTATCCAAATATATTTTATTTATTTAGCGTAATAATATAAAAATGCGTACGAAAAGAAAAAAAAAGCAATGTTTTATTATTATGTTAGTCTTGTAAAATAAATGAACTTACAAAAAATATTTTGGCTCTTTATCGAACACATTTTGACTTATCACTAAAGTACACCCAACAGCACATTTGATTATACAAAACTGTCAATTCTCCACTTGACATTAAAATTTCAACATATTAAAGATAAGAGTACACAATCACTTGCGAAAATTTTACATATTGTGTTAATCTGACGTGCAGCCGTATACATAAAAATGATAATGATGTACAATAGATGTTGTATAACATTTGCACCAAATTATATTGGGGTACAAATAGGTTAAATGCTCTATAATACTCATTATTGGTATTATAGAGCATTTAAAGACAATGGGTTTCACTCAGAACTAATAAAAATATTAATGCCCGCTTTTACTAAACTTCGGAGGAGTCCAGATTTTTAAGAATCTCCTAAAGTGAAATTGCATTTCACCAATGATTAGGAACCAATCACCTTAGGATATTAAGGAATGTCTAAGATATGCGTTATGGGGCGCCTTGCGCTAGGCATTTGCGTAATATGACAGGTCATAAATGCGCCAAGGGTAGAAGAAAATAATGTTCATTTGGAATTAAACGAATCTGCTTAGGGGATTCGTAAAAAAAATGGCGTTTCCTAGTCAAGCTTTGTCTTGTTCTAGGTTAGTGAAAACGGGTGTTAAACTATGAAATATGAAGACTGTATAGTAAGTTTCAATTAATATGGCGCACGGTTTGTAAGGAGCAAATCTACCAATTCCGACGATGACCGAAAGTATAATTAAAATTTATAGTGACTGTTGTTTCAATAACCATAAGGTTTGTAATACAACGTGAGGTGTCCGTCACACACACTCAGCGGGGGTCAGGCGCTTGGATATTGGTAGATCGCCCGATGTCGTGATACTAGTCAATCTGATTGGCCGACGTTCGCCGTGCTTTGAAATTTAGCCACTTACCGTAGCAAAATTATTTTTGTTATAATGTTACTATTATGCATCATAGTTATAATTCATGGTAATTATTTAAAACTTATGTTGTCTTATACTTATTATATTTTGTCGAATGAACAAGTCACATTAACAAAACAGTAATGATTAGTTTCAGACCTTTGTTATATTGATAACACAATACATTTAAAAACAGAAAAATATCCCACAGTTTCAATTTAATAAACCACTGCTCTGACAACCTAGAAAATAATCTAAATAAATGAAATAAGTAATAATTTTATTTAAATTTATTTACTGTGGCATATTGTACTCGGTGCACGGTGGAAAAAAATATTGAAAATCATGTCAATTTTTCAAACAAATCATTACTATACTAAACGCGTATAAAAATACCCAATGAACTTAAATATATTTATTTTAAAATATATTAAACATTAAAAATATAATAAAAAAGAAATTGAAATGAAGTATTTAAAAATATGCAGTTGTTAATACATACTCTTATATTATCGGTCGGCTATTGAAATAAAATAATCAATAGAAAAAAAAACTAAAGTAATTATACTTTTATTATTTATTAATTCGGTACAAAATATTACACACCATGGTTATTACAAATTGTGTAATTTCGATTCGGCAAGCGGTTTTCAACTATACTTCTAACGTATTAAGACATGAAATTGGCGTTTCATCAGTTACATAAAAGTTGATTTGTATGAGAGAAATTTAAAAACCGTTCAATTACTCCGTTCGGTTTTAAACCTTTATGCACTGAAAGTAGAATTCTTAATCAATTGTAGAAATTTGATATATTGTATTTACTGCTAATTTACTGTTGTGTAATATATAAATGCAAATTGTAAAATAGTGCTTTGTTAATTATTGGTAACTATTACTCGATATGTTTTCATTTTCAGTCATCTATAAGGATTTATATGTATTAAGTATATCTAATTAAAAAAATATATTATGGCTGTATGCTTTAAATTCCAAATCTTTCTAAAAAAAAGGTAATAAAAAATCGGCCGTGTCAATTGACTATTTTTTATCTTTTTAAGGTATTAGTTGGTATAAGTAAATTATTCATTAAATAAATAAGTTCTATTATATGTGACAACAGATAAGATTTTGGACAATATTTCAGGAGCTGCATAAACTATCCCACATTATTAAATATTTTCAAGTAGTTATAGTGAAACGTTTTAAATCAGCGATTTCCAAATTATTTTAAGCATGAAGATATCCGAGACCCCAAAAAATATAAAGTATATTTCTAATCAAAATTTATGAATTTCAATGTTAAAATTCAGATTAATACACTAGTTATTTCTTAATATCTAATTATTCCTTCACTTATAGAAGATACAACATGTTACATATAAAAATAAAGTCAAGCACAGATTAAGCCACAGAAATACATAAATATCTGCATATATAAATTCAGATATTTAGCATTGCATAGCGTGCTAAGTGGTATATCGTGGATAGTTCGTCTTTTGTCCTGTTCTAAGTATTTTAATGTCAATAAATTGGACAGAGCATGACGAAGTTGATGAAATATATATATATATATATATATACATAGCTGTATAATATATATAGATATACAACTGTGGATATAATAGGGTATATGCACCAGGCATCATTTGAATATAGCGGACATTTCCATACTATATGCTAATAATAATAATATTATATTCTTCATATTATACATAACTTAATATTATTATTTGCTTTATTATTATTAGCTTCTGAAATAATGTGGTGGGGATGTAGCGGGGATGATTTCTTTCATTGTCACTCTCGTACGACACTACTGGTCTCTAGACTTTGACGTCACATAGCAATCGATATTTAAATCGTTCATATTTCAGTAAATTATTAAATATTTAATTTGTTCTTGCAATTTCATTTCATTTGAAGTCAACTATTATACGATTTTATTCTTACATCAGTGGCTCCTATATATTAGACTGTAGTTGGTTATTAAAAAATACTTTTAAGCTCCGATTGGCGGCTTTGAGCATAGTTGGTGGACATTATATGGACAAGGACACTTATATCAGGCTTTAGATAGTGGCGACAGAGCTTTCAGCAGTTTGTTCTCAGTGTGAGCACCAAAAAGTACAGTGAGTAACGCCACGCCGTAACCAGTAGCACGTTCACCCTGTAAAAAATAAAAGTAATGAAATTAAAAACACCACCAATTTTACGTGCCCGATAGTATTCGAGCACATAACCTTTCGCAATCTGGACGACATATCTAAAACATTTTTTACTTTCTCTACTAGTGAGTGTATTCTTATTAATGTTCAGGTGATGCACCTTTTGGTGAGAAGAAAGAAAGAATTATCAGCAGAAAGCCAACTTGACAGTGAATTATAAAATATGTTGCAAATGGTACCTTATATGTTAACAGCAACTATGTAGTATTTTTATGTTAAAATAAATTAGAAGCATATTTTAGTATTGCAAAATTAATTTTATAATCCATGGATTTCAACCATCTAGCATCGTGTGATGTTACATTTCAATAAACTGAATGTCGACCTCTTTGTTGCAGTGCAACCAGTACTCATGTTTATTGAAATATGACGTCACGGTTCGAAATAAGCCGTAACTGATTGTTAACAGTGACGATTTTATTTTTTATATCTTTATCGTTTAATCAATAAAAAAATATTGGGGAAAAAATCATATTAAACAATATTAAATAATTAGGCCAATGTTTTTAGATTCAATATGTACACTATACGAATGATATTAATATTATACTCACACAATGGGCTGGAGCAGCCATATCTACATGTAACCAGGCGCCGGGATAGTCGAATCCGAGCTGAGCGAGTACGAACAAACCGGCACATGATGGCTGAGCGTTGTTACGATCCTGCAAATATAGATACATTAACAAATAAACTTACGTCCGGTTTATGAATCGAGAAAAATACAAAATCTCAATTGATTATTCCCAATAACTAAAGTTTTTTACTTTTCACAAGGAAAAGTGCTAGTTTTTATCAAACTGCTATCAACTGATCATTAAAAAACTGAAATCAGTTTAAGTGACGTTTAAATTCAGTTTGAGACGCGCCTAACTTTAAATACTCAATTCCAAAATCGGGTGTGTAACTTTTTAGACAGCGTTCAAAATTTTTCTAGGAGTTAAATATCCATTATACAGCCTTTAATTGATAAAAATAATAATAGGTGGATCAAGTTTTCACTAAGAAATATTTTTCCTGATATATTATTTTGCATAATATGCATAAATAAATGAATGAGTTTATGTTATCCCGACGACGCAAGAGTAGTGACGTCATCGTCCACGAATTTTCCACATTTCACAACTTCTAGATGCTTTATTTCAACATTTTTGCACTAGGCGATACCAACAGAAAATAAATGTGTTCTTTATTTTACCACAAAGATTATTAAGTTCAAATTTGGATCGTAATAAAAAAACAAACGGTAAACCTTTAATAATAAGAAATAGTGATTAAAAACAAACATTATATAGTTAATATTTGTAAAACACTAGCGTGCAGAACTCGATGGCTAATATCTATGCTAATATAATAAGGAAGAAAGATTTGGTCGTTTGTTTTAATATACTCGCAAACTACTAGACCGATTTTTAAACTCTTTCAGCTATGGGTACGCGGGAGACAGGCTTTATTTTACGCAGACGAAGTCGCGGATAAACAGCTAGTCGTACATCAATTAATTGTAGACATCACAATATGTAATCACAAAGGTTTATTGATACAGAATCCAAAAACATTTAATTTAATTAATAAATTACGAATTTAAAATAATATTGTCATTTACAATTTATTTATTTTTAAAGTGTGAGCCGCAAAGGACACTATAAAAACAATGTAGTCATTGTTCAAAATGACAACACAGAATAACATTAAATAAAGAAAGAAGTATTTAAAAAAAAGAAAGCACTAAAAAAGCACCTTCACTAGATGGCGACTCTAGCAAAAATTGATTTTTGGAAGGAAACGAATGGATCATAGATAGTCATTTCCGATCCTTTTAACGCAAACATAAAAAAACTGAAATTTGCAAAGTTCGAAACATTGATATTAATACATATACGAGAAAGTACAAATAGAATATGAGTTGTTTATTGAGTTTTGAAAATTAATTTACTATTATATATGAAAGAAAACAACGTTGTGACAGTGATAGACGTCCTCCTTAACCATCCATAAGGAAGACCTATGAATTAAGCAAGCCTGCCCGCCAAGCGGGGCCGGCAGCAATCGCGATTTACCTGGGCAGATCATGATCTGCCCAACTCAACGATTGACCCACGACATAATACAAATTACCGCAACACTGTTCTTCATATCTGCTACGACGCTGCTGAACTCGTTGAAGTGTAGATCGGGAGCGAATGGTAACGCGTGTGTCAGATCACCGGAAACTCTACCGGCCGATACACACGCGCTCTCCAGGCGACGGGTGTTGGATATCACCGCCGCGTGGTACTTACCAGTTGCGGTACCCTGAGGTATAACAAAAAAATAAAAAATTAATATCGTAACAGAGATTGTTATCTATAAGCCCATATCACCTGAGGGTATATTTTATTTGTTCTTAGGGTTGTGTCGTAGAAGTGAAAATACAGGTTTCTGTTATATGTTCTGTTAATATGAACCAATTAAAGAAATAAAAATATCACTCAAAATAAGTTCTTTGACACTTGTTTGGAAAATATTACGCTTTGACAACTTGAAAAAAGTAGAGAAAATATATACTAAAATCTTTTTGGTAAAACTCATATGGCATTAAATTACCTAAAACATTACAACTTTCATTATAACAGTTTATAAACATGAGATTGCTCAGACGCCCATACGTTTTACACTACCGTAGCCCCGTGTGACGTTAATGGTATGGAGCGTTTAGGGCCGGTCTCGGTTGTCAAAGTAACGGTTAAGCAAATAGTCAGTAGCACATTTATTTAGATGACGTCATAACTTCAACGGTTAACTATATCCACCCAAGCTTCGCTAGTTATAATTAAACTATGCAAATAAAGAGGATGGTGCAACGGATGGTGTAAAGTCAATGTGACAGATATTGTCAAATTTGATATAAAACTTAATTTTGAGCACCCCATTCCATAGTTTATATGACAGATATTGTCCAATTTGACATAAACCTTAATTTTGAGTGCTATTATGGTGCAATCCAGCCTTATATTTTGATCTTTCATTCATTTCAATTCCTTTTACATGTACGAATTAATATATTCACTTGAATGTCAAGTGTGCGAAATACTCGACGTCTTATTTGTTTTTTTTTTTTAATTTTTTCAGTGTTTTAACTAATATTATAAAAAGTTAAAGTTTCTAACTTTGTTTGTAGGGGATCATCTTCGGAAATACTGATCCGATCGTGAAAATTCTTTTACCTACGGGAAGTTACAGTTCAATCAGCCGAAGTCGCGGTAAAACAACTAGTAAAACTATAAACCTGTGCTCCTGTGAGTGTAGCAACATCCACAATTATGTCCGCCTTCAGATCTCTAGACGCGTACACTACACCGTCTCCCAATACTAGACGACCTGCACAATCATATAAGAATAGGGGTGTAGATAACTTTTTAAAAAATAATTTTATTTTAAAAATATGTGAAATATATCTAAAAAATATTTGAAAAAATATCATTAATATAATAACTCAAAAAATTTAATTTTCAAGTTTCCCGCGAACCCACCACTTCTGTCAGGGCGTTGCTACGACGTCACAGCCCTACGAAACTAATATCGTTCTATGTATGCATAAGGTTGAAATCTCCAAGTTCTGAAATGAGTAAAAGGGGTGTGACGTCACGCACTGTCTGTGGTCACGTGACATCGAGTAAAAAATATTTGTTTTCTTCATTATTAATTTAAGCAATATTATAAATATAAAAAGCATAAAATTGTGATTTTTGGTAATAATATATTAAAGACTACCAAATATATATATATATGAATTTATTTTCGTTTACTGTATACACCCATATTAAAAACTATTTAGTTAGAGCAGGGTTTGTCAAAGAAAACCTAGGGGTACGCCATTCGACGGTAAGTGGTTCACAAGATTTTGACGTTGCTTTTAAGGTTATTGTTAGATGTAAGATATATTTACTGTATTTGTTACCATTTCTATTTAAATAAAAACCTTATGTAAGCCTCATTTTAACAACCAATTTCATTATTTATGGTCGGGAGGGGGGGGAGATTCTGGGGACTGTGGAGGCAAAAGTTTGAGATACAGTAAGTTTCAACTTATATGGCAAAATTCACCATGGTGAATCTTCGTTTGCGAAGAGCAGATCTACTAATAGTACGTATTAGAACTTACAACTTAGGAGCGTAGGATAGGTGACCAAAATTTAACTATCGTAGCTCCTTGATGTTTCAGCAGGTGCGTTAAGCTGTTAGTCCCGGTTGTATCTGCAATCGTCAACACGCACCAATTCGCTCTGGGCCCATGTGACAAGTCACGGCCCATTCTCCTTATTCGATTCCTTAAGAAAGACGGCCTGGGAAAGGCAGTAGTGGGAACATTAATAGTCTGTTAAAAACTTACCTTCAGCGTCTGTATTATTTATTTCTACAGTACGACCAGAATACAGCTGGTGGATGTCGTCTGGTCTAATAAACAAACAAAACAGTACAATTATTAAATTAATCTTAAATATTAATAATTAAATTAATACAATCATCACCTAACATCGCTAAATAAAGATAATATCTTCGTATAGATGTTTATTTTAGACATTACCGTTCATAGTTTTACATTAACTAAATGAAAAAAAAAAAACTAATTTTCTTTTCACTTCTATTTTCATTTACATAACGATTGTGTAGGTCTTAAACAGTTAATCAATTAGCATATAATGCAGTTTTTTCTGGTCACTAAAATCGATGACATGGTTCCTTAAAAACAGATCTTCTAAGATGTTATAGTTTCAGACTTTCTCTAACTGACCATTTCAAATGTTACACCTTGTATTTACTGATTTGTTTCTTATACCTAAATTTATATTAAATAATATTATAAAGAGGAATGATTTGATTGTTCGTTTGTTTTTCAATGTCAATTTCTAGATTATATTTTATCCAAATAAAGGGTAGAAAATGGGTAGAAAAAGTTTGAATAAGGAATTAAAACGTTACCATAGTAACAATAGTTTACTATTCAATTTGTCATTACAATCATGCCCGTGCCATGTTACCCAAATAAACAGTTCCCCAGGGACCGAGCGGGCAAAGCCACTGACGGAAAGCTAGGATGAAATAAGTAATAAGTTAACGATTTATGTGTAAAGATCGTTTACCTGGTGGCATTAGGTCCGACGGCGTTCTCCGCCAGACATAATACGGCATGCAGGTTGACAGTGGGCCGCGCCCTAACTGCCGTCATGAAAGCTCCCAGCACGCCCGCCGCCCCCCCACAATCACCCTTCATACCCACCATCGATGTCTACAATCAATAATGTAACAAAATTTAAAAAATACTAACGCGTCTATTTTGTAATATATTTCAAAATTTAGCTTAATTTTTAACTTATTTCATATAGTGTAATTAAATCTTAAAATAGAAATGCGAAATTATATTTAAAAAGTTCTAGGAAAACTACCCCGATGATAGTTTTTATAGTGCACTTTAACAATAACATTTATTTCCACATTAACTATAAAGCTTTGATTTTTATGCATTAATTTTTAAAGTTGCTTCACAATTATCTCGAGTTTTGACAGCGGTTATGACAAATATATTTGCTATAACCTCAAATCATTATTTACAAATTATAAATCTCCCTGGCTTCCAGATGAAAGTACGCAAAGATATTTTTTTTAAACAAAAACTAATTTAAGACAACCTTTAATAAAATATGTGACAGGTCAAGCATTGTCTGCAAAGTGGCTATGATTCTTTTCTTGTAAGGATATATAATTATTTTGTGATATGTTAAATGGTATGCTTTTCACGCAGCACGACAATTATTAGAAAACTATCTTTCTCTACTCGATTTTAAATTTTAATACATCGACGGTAGAGTTCACCTGCAATCCGCGAGCTGATTGTAGACGAAAATGAATATGTGATGTACAATCACAAAGGTTTATTGATACAGAAAGTCACGTGACCCTAAACGACACAAGTAATAAATTGAAGTAATTTTTCAAAATGAGAGCTCAAAATGACGTTGTAATGATAACATTTACATGGCACATGATTCATTTTGAAAATAATGATTCAAATCGATCATGTCATGGTTTGATATCAATAAAAACAAGGATTAAAAGAACATTTTTAAACAACGCATTTAGGTAGGTAAAATATTACTTCGTACATACTAAACTCGATTCAATTTCAATAATCACAAGCGCTTTTTTTTCAATCAATTAGAAAAATGACGTCACGGTTTGCAAGGGCCGGTCATAGGGTGAGCAAACAAAAATTTTCGTCCTTAAGCCGTCAATTCGGCTGCATCAGTAATAATGAGCACCCACCAATCCACAATGGGATCGTCTGGTGGGTCGTAGCCAATTTTCCCTATGCGTAACTACAGTGTGGCAAGTCAGCAAAATGCCACAGTCCCGTCGAAGAATCCCCGGTCAGAAGAGTCTCCTTACACCCGACATTATTTATTACGTAATTATTAAAAAGAAAAACTTAATATCCGATGAATTTGCTCATTATAGTACCACTGTAGTGTACTTACATTTAAATTAAAGTATATGCATAACATAAAATATTTGTTAAAGTAAACATTATAAAAATTTAATATATTCGATTAAATTATATGTACAAATACCAAATAACACAATATATAAAATTGTTTAACATGTTAAATTTAAGAAATAATATTTAATGTTATATTTATTCGCCTTCTTTATTCTACAGCATTGTCTGTACTTTTGTGCTCATCTTTTATTACATTTTACATGTGTGTGTGATGAGTACACTTTACAAAAATTCAACATATTTTATTTGGAGTTACAACGCCTTACCGCTATCTTATTTTATTCATCAAACTAGTCTATGGTTTTAGGCAGAATATGAAAAAAAAGGGCGCATGCGCAATTCGAACTGTGAAAAAATTGGCGCACGCAAAAATTAAACGTGATATTTGAAAATATTTGTTTTAGGCTCCTTGAAATACTTTTGCCTCTAAAGTTTGATATTTCATTTTTTTTTTTAAATTTCTTGGTGCTTGGCCAAAAAACTACTTTTAAGCACGTGTGCAGTAAAGGATTTCAGTACATTTTTATTTAACACGTTTTAAAGACACACTTTCGGTGTTTACAATGGATTAAAAATAGGGCTTTATGAGCAACTGCATTGAAAACTACTATTAGTTGCTATGTTCAATAAAGTTCCACAAAATGTAATTGACCTACCCATAAATAAATTTCAAATTCATGTAAAGAATATACTTATGAGTAAAGGCTATTATAAAGTTGATGATTATTTTAAGGACCGCAATGCATGGAATTAATAGCCTTCGCTCTGTTCTATAACGATTAATTATAGGTAACCAACCTATGTCCTACTTTGAAACTTGTATTAATTATTGTTCAATATATGTATTATTTTGGTAATGACATGATTTATGTAAATGTCATTACTTATGATAAAAAGCTGATAAGTTTCTTTCGCTTGTTCTTCTTGTCAGCTAAAAGACGTCCTGAACAAGTGGTAGGGGATAAAATATTTTTGGACGATTCAAAAGTGCTTGTAACAAGCTTACTCGAATAAAAACATTTTCATTTCATTAACAAGTGTCACTCACGCGCGCCTTGATGCTGAGACCGCCGGTATCGTACACGATACCCTTCCCGACCCACGCGACAGTCTGTGCGGGCGCGTTCGTAGTATAGGACAGTACCACAAGGGCGGGCGGGCACGCGGCCGCCTTACCCACGCCGTACAGACCGCCCATGCCGCGCTCCCTCAACTCCTCGCCGCGAATTATCAACGGCTCCGCTATGTCCAAATCTTTGGCTACAGCGCACGCTTCCTATGCACAAATGGATAAAGATTAATACAGATTACCGTATAACGAAAGGCGAAGTTTTATATTTTATGACGTCACATTTCATAATTGAATACGAATTATTTTTTTTTTGTACATAGAAACACATTAATGCGAAGATAACAAACACTCTGCTAATTGAGAAGAGAAACTGCCGGCTAGTGCATTAAGCGCACGCTTCCTATACACAAATGGATAAAGATTAATACAGATTAACGTATAACGAAAGGCGAAGTTTTATATTTTATGACGTCACATTTCATAATCGAATACGAATTTGTTTTTGTGTAGATAGAATCACATTAATGCGAAGGTAACAAACACAGTCAATTGAGAAGAGAAACTGCCTGCATTAAAACGTTTAAAATATATAGAAGTAACGACATATGCTACTATAAATTTACATATATATTTAAATCAATGGCGAGATAAAAAAAAATTCTCCTTACAGCGTTTATCAACATATATCTGATCTATCTGATCTCCAAATAAATTGATTTTTAGAAAATTCCTTTCTTTTGCACACAAGATATTTGTAAAATTCGTCGTCATCATTTGTATAATTGATATTGTATGTTATGGTTTGCGTATGTATATTTTTGGCTTATGTATTGTTATACAATGAACAAGTTTTAATTTTGTTACGTTCTTTTATTTCTCTATACCGCCATCGTGTTTGTTATTTTCTCTAAATGCTGACTGGGAGAGAATGCTATTAACATTAAGTCCGCCTTTTGTTATATTTTTATTGGTCAATAAAGCTCAATAAATAAATAAACGCTTTAACATAACAGTTTTGGCATAATATATCTAATGATTCAATTATGTTGGCATAATATACAGCATCTTTTAGGTTATTTATTTATTTATTTAATCTTAATTGCCTAGTGAAATAGACAAATGGCGGACTTAATGCCAAAGAGGGATTCTCTACCAGTCAAACAGTAATTTTAGTACAAAACTTAAAGTGGTGACAGACACAAATGTTGATATGTATATTATGCTATTGATAATTCTACATAAGAACTAACGTTACGCTATCTTTGTTGGATAATTTTAATTCGCTACTACGAAAGAATCGATAAATCATTTGGGTTACGTTAAAACTGTGACTAAAACAAAAAGCGAAGCACTTTGTGCTGGCACGTGGGTGACTGGCAATTGGAATTTTTTATCAAAAGCAACAGAGCAAATTATCGATATTATATTATAATAAGTTAATCTATTATACTTGATTAATTTTGCATTCACAATGGTATAAATATATTTAATGAAAAATGCTTAAATAAATTCACCAGCCCGAGGTTCCATGAGTTGGGATTTTTTAAGTATTTTCTATCTATACTAATATTATAAAGCTGAAGAGTTGTTTGTTTGAACGCGCTAATCTCAGGAACTACTGGTTCGAATTGAAAAATTATTTTTGTGTTGAAAAGACCATTTATCGAGGAAGGCTTTAGGCTATATAACATCACGCTTCAACTATTACGAGCGAAGAAATAATGGAAAACGCGGACGAAGTCGCTGGCGGCCACTAGGTAAAGACACAACTTAATGGTTTACCTCAATGAATTTATCAACGTTCATAATATTAGCCGGTGTGTCTGTGATGCGAGCTGCGAGTCTAGCAGCGTCCGCTGCATGCTGAATTGTGTTCAACTCGTCAGCGGACAGGGTGCTGTCATTCAACACCGGGTCTAATGTTAAACACTCCTCTTCTGAATCACCATCTAATAATTAAATAATACAATACATGAGAAATTCAGGTATGCAAGTTAGGCTTGTGTTCTACAAGTGAAAAAATTCTTTTTTCTCCCCTTTCTGTTATCTCCTTTCTCGAATATGTTAAGTCTTGAATACCTTTCTTATTCTATCTCTAATAATTATAAACCTATACCTACCTCATAAGCCTATCGTCTTATAATCCTTCCATTTAGAAGAAAGAATTGGGAAACGGAACCAAAACAAACCGCATGAGGTCATTTGGATTTGATATTTTTTTCTTAATTGCCCGGCAATTTATGATTGAACACCTGCCGTTTCCCGCTCAGTAGTAGGCCACATTTGGGTTGGTTATGGGTTAACAACTCCAGATCCAGCTAAAAGTAACACTCACCCTGTTTATTTTCTTCCTTGACTAGTTGCAGTTCGACTGTAACAGTGGAGGGGCGCGCGGGAATCGATCCCGCAGCGGCCAGAGGCGCAGCCGCTGTACGCGCCCCGTACAGAGGGAACGAGCGGGCTATGGCCACGGCGCTCGCGTACACATCACGCTTCCGACATACTAACTGTACGAAAACATAATCAGTTGAGAAAAAGAGTAATAAATAAAACAATTTAGCATTTTTTATTTCAACTTTACAGAAAACTTACTGCTCTATATCTATTCTATAACAAATTACTAAATAAATAAAAAAACATCTACAGCTAAAAACAAAAATAATTCGTAGATAAAATAAGTTTTCACATGGGTCTAAGATAATGATTTAAGAATATGCAGGAAAAATGTGTTTATCTACTATTATTATTTTAGTACATTGCTTAATCGATCTGAGACCTGCAAAACAAAACAAATACTTTTGAAAGTAAAGAACTCTGTGATCACAAAATTCGAAACTTCATACGCCGAGCATAGTAAATGTTTGCAAGTCAACACCTTTTAATTTGTGCTAAATGCTGCATTAATATAGAATGTGTTTTATGGTGTAAATGTATAATGTAATAACTAAATAAAAGTCTCAAAATAAAATGTTACTCCTAACCAGCAAGTGTATGGCACTTAGGCTTACTACCACTTCCCCTGGTTTCCCCTTTCAACTTGCATACTGATTAATGATTTCTCTGTCTAGAACTATATGTATAAATGTTTTGTCTTATTATATCTAACCACAATGCATTCGTCGGTGGCACGTTGAGTCCCTCGCACAATTTTAGCTAGTGCGTGTGAGCGAGATGGTGCAGAGTGACGTGAGCAACGAACTGGTAGTGAGGCTATAGACGCCGCGCGGGGCCACAGTTCTACAGAGTCGCCGGGTGATGACGTCACACAAGAGAGCCCGCGGCGCCACGCCTACAAAACACATAAAAAAGTTAAGAAATTAAGAAACTTGAGTTATATTAAGATGTGGTCAATAGGGGATTTGACAACTTTAAAAAAACTTTTAAATTAATTAAAATGGATGCTTATTCCCACAAAAATAAATATTTGTAATAATGTAAATAAAACGGATTTTCAGTGAAAAATTGAATTATCATTTGTTCAACAACTACCTTTCTCTTTTGTTAATAATTATTAATATATTAAATTTTTGCTTTCACAATGGCATACTGAAAATTTTCTAAATACAAAAGCAGTCGCCCAGATTGCGAAGGTTGTGGGTTCGATTCCCATCTCAGGGTGCCAGGGACCAACTGGATTTTTTAAACATTTTGTATTAACAATAACTATTAATATAAATACATTTTTTAATAAAAACAATTAAGCACTGTATAATTAAGCGCATACCTCTTCTGAGACTCGAGGCTCTAATTTGCACCGGACATCGCTCCAAGTGAGTGAATTAAGATGTGCAACTTGTCCCACAATCAGCACAGGATTTTGTTCAGGATCTGACGGAGACAGACCCCAGCGGAACTTGATGTTCACAGATGAGCTTGACATATTGCAAACTGGAGACACAAAATACATATTAAAATTTACAATCAGTTAGAATAAACATGCCATGTCATCGAATACAACAAGCTGCATGACTTGGCACTCTGCCACATCTAAAATGATATCACTTGCATTTACTAGCCAAAATTTATTTAATGCAAAATAAAAGAGTACCAATCTCTCTCAACACTAAACTTGGACTGTAGATACTTCACAGTTAAAAGTTTATTGCCTGGTAGCTGTTACAATCACGATAAATAAATCAAGTGGGAGTTATGAGAAACATAACAAAAGTAATAAAATTGATTAATCTATTAAGAAATTGAAACTTTATTGAAAGATAGGAGGACAATGAGTTTTAAATGACTATAAAATCATGACCGTTGAAATACAACTATGAATCTAGAATGAGATTTTAATTATGGTTTTATTGTTATTCAAATATATCTTTTTTTTAATATGGACTTGTTCCGTTATACAGGGAAATTTTGTCAACATGTGACTCAAGAGACTGAACAGTAGTTATAATTAACCAATTCTTACTTGAGATTGTTCTTTCTACTAAAAAAAACAACAAAAGAGCAATATTTAAATACATAAAAGAGGATTTTGCAACACTTCTTTTTATAATTTGGTATTGTTGAGTGCACTTAGGTTTCATAGTTCTGAGGTGTTTGGTTTGATTACCAGATATTATTTCCTAAATATTTCTGAACTCATAGTTTTGGTGTTCGATATCTATTTATATACAATTATTGCGTTACTGAGTGACTGAGTGACAGACAATGTACAGCCGAAACTACCGAGTGTAGAAAGTTGAAATTTGGAATGAAGATTCCTTAGGGAGTGTTGAGGAACACTAAGAAAGGATTTATGAAAATTTCATCCTAAAGTGACTAAATTAGGGGATGAGTTTTTGTGGAATTTTCTCATTTCTGGACTTAAAACTAGACCACATGGGAGGAGTCGCGGTCAAAAGCTAGTCCAATACATATGGTCATAAATTAAAAAAAAAATGTTTTTACAAAAACCTTTAAAAACTGCCTACATAAATAAAATTAAAATCCTTGACTGAGGTAGAACTTTGAAAAAAAAAAATTTTAAATTCACAATTGCAATGGACAGCAAAGTGACATTACTGGACACAGGACGACATGCTAAATTCCGAGTCAATCTCAGATTTTCCAGCTATTTTCAGAAAAGAAAATTGTGTAAAATTAGTTCTCTCTGTAAGTCAGTATATTTTTACCCATTAGAAATATATTAATAATAGTATGATCATTTTGAATTATGTTAAAATTCTAAGGCATGGTTATAAGGAGTGCTTACTTTTTAATTTTGGTAATAACAAATATATAAACATAATTATTCGTTTTTACTCAACTGTAGATAAATAAGTTGCATTCACCTGCTATTATTGATGGATACCTAACAGCAAAGCACGATGCAAGTGTCCGTATTTGTAGCATCATCTACTTACATAACTCAAGACTTGTCAAATAATCAAAACAAACAGTTAAGAAAATTTCTACTTGCGAAAACAAGGCAGCTGAGCGCTAACTTCAAAACCTACTACCGTTATATTTTATAACTTACCTCAAATCATGAATAGGGGACAATGAACTATAACTTATTTCCAACAAAACCGATCAAAGGAAAACAAAAGTTTAATAGAAAGAGCTTTGTTTGCTAAATAAACGACAATTATATTTTCTTTTTTACACAACAAATCGCCAAATCATTGAATTTTGATAGAAGCAAAATGAGTTACCACATGTGGTTCCGGAATTTCCCTGAAAGATTTCCCTATTTAAAAATTAAAATTAGTTTTTGAAATCAAACTAGATGTCACTAGCGATGTTTGGATCTTGTCTATGATATTCATTCAAATTTTGTTTCTGACGTAATAAAAGTAAATTTAGTATCGAAAATTAATAAATATGACATCGTTTCGTGTTTCTTATAATACCTATTATGGCCATAAATTCTGTTACTGGCTGTTTATATACATAAAAAAAAACATTAATTTGAATTTCGAACATTCTACTACATTCTACATATAAAAAAATAGACTTCTTTCTCGCCAATATTGTATGTTTTTTGTTTGTAGAAATTATTTGTTTTTAAAATGGAGTAGGGCATTAAATAGAATAGGATTGCAGTAATTGCATTGTAAAAAGTATGTAAGAAGTCTGCCAACATTTTTGATACATTGAAAGGGATTAGGCGAATGTTTGTGTATCGTATCATCCAAAGGTACATTGAAACCATGTCTGTTGATGAGCGTGAGAGATCAGGCCGACCTCGGTCTATTTGAACTAACCAGGCCGTTAATGCAGTCAAGGCTAGAATTCGTTGAAATCCCATAAGGATGCAAAACATCCTTTCCAGAGAAATGAGAATCCCACCAAGCACACTTTCTCGGATTAGCAAACAAGACTTAGGTGTAGGGGCTTACCGGAGATACAGAGGACATATCTTGAATCGGTACTAAAACAAAAAAGAGCCGAAAGATCAAAACAGCTGTTACTTCGATACGCGGACGAAAAACACAGAAAAACCGATGAAAAAAAAATTATAATCGAGGAGCAGTACAACAAACAAAATGATCGAGTGTATGCACACATCTCTAAAGAAGCATCAGAGGTAGCAGCCAAAATTCAGCGAGGCCATCATCCAGCATACGTCATGGTTTGGTGGGGTGTTTCCTACCAAGGGGTTTCAAAATTGTTACGAGGGTCAAACTGAAAGTTCTTAGAACTGGCCACTTATAAACAATATAATAAAAAAATAATTCTAAAGGACAATGTTCAGCCCCCATACATTTTTCGCCTAAGAACCTCTAAACATGTACTATCACTTTTTGTGTTCTAAAGTATCTGTGTTTACGTATAAATACATGTTTAAGTAACGGACACTGCTAAGAAATGTATAAATCAAAAAATATATTTTGGATTTGAGGTTATAATTTTAACAATTGTAGCGTGCGGTTAGATTCTTCTTAATGTTTGTTTTACTTGCTTTTTGCTTTAAATATAGCTAGGTTCTGTAGGTACTTACTTAGCTTGATTTAAAGCTTAGATTCCTGGTTTGTGGTATCTTATTACTTACGAAATTAATCTACAAAAGTCTGCTTGCCAGCAACATAGCTTTTTCCGGGTGGATAATCTTTTAAATCGGTCATAACCTAGTTTAAGCTGGCATAATATTGGTAGATTCTAGATATATGATAATTAGTGACAGTTCCCTTTGTAGCGGAGTCTAGTGAATTCATAGTTTATTTCATAGTTTATAGCGGCATAAATTCACGCGTGCGATCGAGAGGACCCGGGTTCGATTTGCGGCTCGGGCAGTGTTATTGGGTTTTCTGTCAAGAAATACTCAATAGCATGGAGTCTGGAAAATGTGCTCGGTAACGGCTATAGACCCGGCCTCTATTACGTGGAACCTAAGAATAAAATAGTTGGCGAAATGTGGGTCCTCCTCTTCAGGGATATAGGCGTGAGGCTATATTATATTATGAACCGGGAATCGAAACCGGGAGCAGATCCCAGATATTTCAACATATTTCTGCCTCGGGACGAATAAGGCAGTGCTACCTAGATAATAGATTTTCTAATATTGGGTACTTAAATAAAACAAATGTTTATTGGTTTTAGCTTTTATTCAATAATAATTATTTCCAAAACTACTCAGCATCATCAATATTATCAATTAATATATCGTCCAAAAACTGTGCAGGGGGTTCGACGATAGAATTTTGGTGCCTTGCCCAGCCCAGGTACCATATTACCGTCATTACATGGGCGCAGCAACCGATAGTTCTGCGCCCTACAATACAATTGCAACAGTATTGTTTTATTGCATATCTACCGCTTTGGTTATTATCTATTATAATATATATAAAATAGACTTTTTGGCTAATGTGCCGGCTACGAATCTTACCTCGTAACAACCATATGTTATCATTATTACTCATTCCTAGAGATTCTAATAACTCTTCGTCAACCTCCCTGCACACTTCAATAATATAGGAACCGTCTTGTCTCACATGTTCGCCATAGTAAGATCGGGCCTGTTTGATTTGGTAGATACCCAAAGGTATTAAAATTAAATCACTATACCCTATTTGTGGGAATTCTGTTATATTATTTCTTTGTACAGTTAAACTGTGAAACTGAGCCCGTTTCCTGTTTAGATTATTTAGTTCCACAAAATCTGCTAAGGTGTTATTTGTAAACATTTTTTCTTGTATAATTGAGACCAATTCTCGTGCATCCTCTCTGTCAACCAAAACAGGGTGAAATCTGTTTATGAGCGCTGCAGCCACCTCAAAATCTTTCATCAAATTCTTAGAACTTTTATTACAATATTCTTGTCGCAGCAATTTATAATCTCTCTTAAAACGCCCATTAACAACCTCCACTACCCAACGACATAATGTTACTTTTCGCGACTCATTTGCATTTACTGTTGTCATTTGAGATTCACCCTGTTCAATTGACAGAGGGTAATGCACTGAATAATTTAAATTATTTAGCAACTGTATGCTGTCTCGAAATCCCCTGTCCAAAATGAACACATCACCTTCTTTAAAATATCGCCGGAGAGGGTTGGAAGCATCGTTGAACTCTTCTTTTATGATATCAGCATCTGATTTTGTGGCAGGGTACGGGCCCAGTACGTCAATTATATGGCCATCACAACATACTAACATGAATGGTTTGACTAAATTCCTATATTTATGAAGTGAATAAGTTTTTTTCTGATATTTGTAATTGGTGCTTTTCTGCACATAAACATATGTGCCATCCATAATAATAATAATAGCTTTCCTATCTTCTGGGCTGCTTCCTGGATTTCCAAATAATGAATTTGGAATGTATAAATTCCTTTCAGCAACTTCTCTTCTGGTAATGTGGTCCAGACCCAAATGGTGTGGAACAAAGTTTGCCACCATCATATCCCTTCCTTTATTTATATGTCTGGTGAATGTGCTTCTGCTTATATTCATCAGGTTAGCTAACCTTTCATCGGGATCACCAGTCCTGAGTTTCAGTAAATAAGCTCCTAGAGCTGTGGCACAATTTTGAGACTCAGGCAATTCAGCGACTAATTCCTTGAATTGTCGCTTTGTACGTCCCAACCAATACCAAACCATGTTGTCATCTATATTATCAATGGCTTCAAAATCTAATGTAACTTTGTCATTTTTCAATAAGTCACAGAAGTCTTCTATATATTGAGCTGTAAAAGTGTGATGCACATTTTCTGCCTCAAACAATATTGACCATAATTGGCTCTCCAAGTGAAATTGACAAATTCTGCAATTCGGTGGAATATAATAATTGTGATCACTAAAAAGCCTTACTCTAATGCTATATGGCACTAAATGCTGGAACACGCTGTTACATCCAGGAAATATACAGCGAGAATGTGTATCAGGACATCTAATATAATTTGGCAATAATATTCTTGCAGCCGGTGGAGCCCGGTCATGCAATAAATCAGCATCTGAACGTGCAGCAACTTCAGCTGCTAAAAAGCATCCATGGCAGATGACATCAGAGGGTCGGCTCTAGAAAAAACATATAATGTTTGTTAAACAGACTGCATAATTATAACATTGTGTATTTTTAAATATAAATTAACAGCTGTGTAATTACCTCACGTGGGTGAATCCAGTTCTGTACAACATTCAAGATATGCTGGTTCTGCTCACTATGTACAAAATGATGTTGCAGATTTGTTACAGAACGACCACATTTGACACAGATGTTTTCATGACCAACCAACCTTATTTGCTCTTCTGGTACTACAGAATTATTATCAAATAAAGCATGGCATGCATCACATATGTAATCAGCTGCTGTCACCTGTAAAATAAAAATATTTTGTTATTGACTAAGTACCACTAAAAATAATAAAAACCTGATTTTTGGGTAGGCAGTGATAACGTAGTGGTGAGGCCAACTGATTATAATAGAGAGGGTTTCAAGGCAGAATCCATAGCAATGACTTATCGAAATTCATATAAAAGTATTTTCAAAGTTATATGAATAGTAAATTGTCTCTTGCCTCATTCCTCAGAGAACAAGTTAAGCCATTGGTCCCAGTTGTCATGAGACAATATATGATAGTTGTTACTGGGAGTCAGTACCCTCAAATATCTTGATACTAGTCTAACCATAGATTATTGCTATCCCTCTGGATTACGGAGGACAGTTGGCAGTCACTCCGTGGAAAAGTATATATTCTGCCGAACAGCTGAGGATGCAACTGGGAATAATACTAGGATGATGAAGATATCTCTAATTCATGTTTAATTACAAATGAACACACTCAAGATACATCAGTATTAAGTAAACTTATAACACTTACTATTTGTGGTGCTAGTTGTTGTTGTATTTGTAATAATGTTGTCTCATCATTTAGTATATGTCTTCTTTTTCTAGTAACATCAATAAGACAATTGACACATTTCAATTGATTGCTGCTAGTGGAAGAAGTTGATGGCATAGAGAAATGCTTAGCAGCACGATCAGCTTTTTGCCAGCATGGATGGCAAATTATATGTGATGCACGTATCTTAAAAAAATATATAAAGATGATTATTGACATTATCTGTACCAAAGGAAACATTTAAATAGCATTGCAAATGATTTACATAAGTACCTCTAATGGAATAAGCCTTTCCAATATGATATTTTTAATATTCACTTGGTGTTGAGTATCTGTCCTCAAAGCAACTACTTGGTGTGAACGTGCTCGATGTGGCAGTGTTTTATTACAAAG